TGGTAGCTACGGTCCACCGAACATGGACTATACTCGGACAAGCCTGCGTGCTCCAAGCTCCCTGTCTGTGAAAGCAATAGTCCGTCCTCGCAGAGTACGCCAGCTGACCACCTTGCATAGACCAACCCATGGTGGTACACCGCACTCCTGCCAGGAGGAGAACGAGAGACTCAAAAACGAGTACGTAACCGCAAGCGTCTGTGTTTCCGAGACTGACAGTGTGTGGAGGTTACAATTCGTTATCAAAGCGTACGCCTATCCCTTGGGTCCGTGGGCTGATAGTAACCCGACACAGACAACAGCACCTAATGGAGAGGTTTGTCTCCTTTACTAAAGCATTCGTCTTCCTCTCAAAGCTGATCGCATTCCAGAATCTCGGAGCTGGAGGGTCAGAGCTGTTCGAAAACGTAAGAAACATCGTCGGCGCCATGCCACAGGCGAACTAATCTCGATCAAGGTGTCTTGAAAAATGGGAAAGAATGGAGGAGCATCTACAGCGCATTTCTCACCAGATCAACCTCAATCATGACACCGTCGACCCGACCAACCTCATGGGCAACCCACTTTCGAACACCTAGTCATGGCGCTGCCGTCGGTGACGGGCTCTGTGAAGGCTAAGCACAAGCGAGCTGGGTGCCGGACGGGCCAAGGGCTTGCTATGCTGGCCGTGCCGCCTACGATAGCGGGAGTCAGTGACATAGTGCAGAGGGAACGGGCCTAATACAGTAAGCGCCTGCAATCATTCATTAATTCTACCTGTTACTTTTCTCGGCGCCCAAGTCTGTGCACTACCTGATCGCAGTCGGCCACGCTTCGTCTACGTTGTCGTCCCTGCCCGCTTCTACTACTGCAATGTGAAGGAGTTTTATGTAAGTGGCACGCCGCTTTCTCGCCTGCGCATCCAAGTCGCATCACTTGCGTGTGTCAGTGACCATCCGTACATTCGTATGCGCACCTAGCAGGCTGTTCACCAGTTCCGCCCACGAATAAGGCAACTTTTGTCCTAGTGCCCCCTTCTGGACCCAGGCTGCGTCACAACGACATGCCCAATTCTGGATACAGCAGCAACCACAGACAGCTGCAGGTATATAAGCTTCGTGGCTTGCTTGAAGACGACGAAGCGGCTCGCGGCACTCGTCTTCGTCATGAAGGGTCTGCGTCTGAAGAACCGCTCCTCTCGTTGCGCCAAGGACCGGCCGCCATCGCTCGGCCCCGTTGACTTTGAGATACGTGCACTTGGCGGGGGTAAAACAAGTACCTTGCTATTCCACGAACTGCCTCCGAAAAGCGAAACAACTCACCAGAACCGTATAAGGGAGTTGCACGAGGAAATCAGGTGCCTGAGCAACGAGGTGGCCTACTACAAGGCTCTTACGGACGAGGCGCTGTCGCGGATCCTGCCCGTTGTTCAGTTCCATGCGCGCGACTTGCACGACGCCGTCCAGCGATGCAATGCAAAGCTCGACACTCTTCTATCCGAAAGATACAACGAGGAGCCGGTAGACATTTGGAGCGTCGAGCGTTGATAGCATTATCACGATTTGGCAGCCAAAGGAATGTTAGCCACGCTAAGCATCATCTATTCATCTATCTCGTGGTAACCACACATGTCCTTGCCGCGCAACCCGTGAAATTCCCCTTGCCTTTCTTACTTGAACGCGGCCTCGTGGTACCCGTCGTTTCGGGTAGCCCCCTCTTTCTGCGCTTCCTAGAACTTCGCCACTCGGCCCTCAACTGCCGCAGCGTCTCGCTATCCAAGGACGTCTGCAGATGCGGGTAGATATAGCCCTCCTCCGAACTGCGCGGGCTGGCCTCACCAGCCTTCGTCGCTTCATCTTCTGAGACGTGCGGGTCCACGCCCACACCTGTGGCGGGTTCGCCGCCACGGTCAATGCACAGGCCTGCCATGGCAATCAGTAATCCATGCGTGCAAGAACACGACAAGTACGCGCTGACCACTGTCCGAGGCTGTCGCTGGGCCAGGGGACCTGTTCGTCGTCCCTGCATCGTGCGTAGGTTCGTGAGCGTCATGTGCAGACGCGGAGCGTTGGCCGGCTCCATCTGTCAGGATACTCTCATCAGGAGGCATGTTGCCAAAGGAGTCTAAAATGATGAGTTGCTATTCCAGGACATATAGCGCATTGCGTCCTTATAGACAACGGCGTGGCAGCCACAAGCGGATGACCAGTACAGACCCGACAGTTGGTGGGACGGCCGGCTTCCACAAACTGAGCCCTGGTAGGACTAGCCATCTCTCAGCCAGAATATGCGGTTCCTTGTGGCCGAGAGGTATCTATGCGTCGGTCGTGGGACGCTTGTCCAAGGTCGCGGGGGTCGCGGCGTGACTTGGATGGGGTTAAAAGACCGTGCTCCCTCGCTTCTGGCCGTCTCCTGTTTCCTCGACCATATCCCCATTCAGACCCTGCGAAGCGGGTACAGAAACATGGCACGAACTGTGGTTCCGAGCGTTGCGTTGGGTATGGCCCTCTTCCGCCTGGACGACTCTACAACTGACATAGTTTCAAGACCAGCCAGGCCCCTTTGAGGCATGTCCTGGCATGTGCCGACAAACCGCGCTGCTGGATGCACCGTTATTTGGCATCACGCTTCTGACTACGCCGAGTAATACAGAGCCTCATGTCTCGCATCCACCGCGTGTTGAGAGGGTTCGGATTCCTCGGGCCATCGCGTTGTCCAATCGCAGGCGCGTCTTTGCGTGCCACTTGACATTGCAACAGGCGCTTTTGTAGACGGACTCCTCGTCAAAGCAGAGTGAGTGAGGATTGACCCGTGGGCTGCTGGTTACTACTGGGTTGTGTCGGCCCGGGACGCCCATTTCGATGGTGATAGCCAACTACGACCGTGGCGCGTAGTGGCCGTGCCATCGGGTGTTATGCCACACAGTGATCGGGCGACATCGCAGTACCAGTCGCACCTTCTTGCAGCGGCTGGCTGTACTTCCTGTCAATCCACCACATGGGTTGTTTGGTGTTTCTGAAAGGGTAGGAGGTATTACGCAACAAATACAGGTACACGAGGATAAACGTTGGTTGTGACTGTGATTGCATCTTCTTCCCGCGCAGCAAAGGATTTTGTCTTTACTGATAGATACATATAGCCTTTGAGCGACGAAAACTGTACTAAATAGGGTAATTTGACAGTATAATCTTCGCTTGGGGTGAGTAGGACGCATACCCGTTAGGACAATGATAAGAATAGGGTAGTCATTTCTGGGTCGATGCCTGGTCCGCAGCAGGTACGGATACAGCACTCCATCGTTCTCGCTGCCAAGTTCCCAGTCTCAATATCCTAGCGAGATGAGGTTGGATCAGCCATCGCTGGCCGCGTTCTTCCAGTTTACGCACACAAGAGAAAGAGACTACATTCGACGGGGTGTGATGCTCCGGCGGTGCTCTTGGGCTGTTGAGTGAGGAACCCCCCCGGGCCAGGCCACCCATGACCGGCAACCTCGCTATCTGGCAGCCACGGTAGATCATGACCGACGGCTAGGCCCGAGAGGGGAGGTGTCCGTCTTCACCAAGCTCACTGCGACCCTCGGCTAGGACAGCCCTGGCGCTATTCCAGGGCAGCTGCAGCCACCGTGGATTGTGAGAGACGACGAGAGATGAGAGGGTGTGATGGCCCCGCCATTTCTGTGGGCACCTGCCTGGAGGCCCTTGTCGTGTGGCAGCCATAATAAGAGTCTAGAGCTAGGAGGGTGTGATGGCTCCGCCATGGCTATGGGTCTTCTGCCTGGGTAGTCCTTGCCGTGTGGCAGCCACAATGGAAGACTAGAGTCAAGAGGGTGTGATGGCCCTGGCAACGCTATGGACACCTGCCTGGGGGCTCCCTCTTCGGGCCAGGCCACAATTGATCGACGACTTGCCGTGTGGCAGCCACACGTCACCCGAGCTGCTTAACATCAGAAGCTGGGGTGGCTGCATTCTGCCCCTGTCGATCAGTCTACTCTTTGGTGAGAGCCTCCCGACCGCAGGGGTCGCGTAGATGCGCCCGCTTGGCCCATCATATACAGATGCAACCGTGGCAGACAGATAGCGATGGCGCACGACAACGGTTGTCAAGGCCACATCTAGTGAATTGTCCAGCTCCACACTTCCTATTACAGTCGTGAGCAAATGCAGCTTCCTATTCACGCACTCTGTCAGTTTATGGAGCCTGGGTCGGATCTATATGTACATGAATCTACCTCGATGAGCCATAATAAGCCGCGCTCGCGCTGCCAGAATAGCCGGGTTTGGATGAGCGCTAGGTGCTGCTGGGTCACTCAGAGTGGGCTGCAGCCCGCCAATCCGGCGCCATGTGTCACAGTGTCTTTCACACGGGCTGAATACTTTCAGTGACCGACAAGACGCAGGGTTCTATTGGGTACTTTGCCGTTTCAATGGAGTGCACCGAAAGATATCCACAAAATAAACACTGTATGGAGCCATCATGAACTTTCGTGTTATTCGATTCGATAGGAAGCTGTGAATGCTCAAGACTGTATACCGTACCTAAGCCGCAGACCGCCATCCCAACGATGGACAAGAAGCAGCTTTTGGACGCTGAGAACAAGTGCGTATAGGCGTCTGCCAGGATACCGCTATAAATCAAGCGCATCGTTGCGATCGCACTTCTACTTGCTCTTCCATTGCCTATCAATTATAATGCCTCAGAGAGAGGAGATTGTAGGGCCACCAAATCGTCGTAGCAAACGGAAGACAGCTGTGTCTGGTAGCAACGAGGTTCAACATGACAAGTACGTGCCTGTAATTGCCGCCTTCTTCTCTTCTTCGCACTCACAATCTGCAGCTTCTTCGCAAAGGAAATTCAGCGCCACAAGATCAATGAGAATGTGTGTTTGGGCCATGGCGACTTGTTGGCCAGCATCACTGACTACAAGCAGGGGTCTATCGAATTGTTGGTCCAATGGGAGGACTCGAACGGGACGTTTCTCAGGACTTGGGAGGTTGAAGATAGGCTGGAGTAAGCTTGCATTACAGGCTTGCGCAAGGGTACTGAACTGACGTGCTAGGGACTCGCCTGCGTTGGAAGAGTATTTTGTCCGTCTAGGCGGACGCGAAAGGTTGTTCAAAAAACAAGTCCGGCGAGGACTGCGCAGGAGGAATAGCGACTCACCCCTGGTCCCAGCCCGGAGGTCTCCGCGATCCAAGACCGCGGCTCTTGCCAAATCGACTGAATGGAGTCCTCCAGAACGCTCATGGGAGCAAGAGATTGCATCCATTGACGGTTGTGAAGTGGAGAGTGGCAGGCTTGCCGTCTATGTCTCCTGGGAAACCGGCCATAGGACGAGGCATGACGCATCAGTCTTGTACAAAAATTGTCCCCAGAAGGTGAGGATGTGACGGCCAATGGCACGCTGATAGCACTGCTGCTGACCAAGACAGATGCTCCGATTTTACGAAAAGCATATCAAGATCATCGAGGAGTAACTTCGATATCAACCAAACTACAGAAGAGAACAGACTCGCGGTCGCAGGATTACCTTGCTTGACCTATGTCTAGCCTACTATACTAGAAGTTGGAACTATTTGCCTCGTTACGGCTTGTAGTGGTAGTTCCTCCGCACGGATCGCAGAGGATCTCAGATCGGTATGAGGACAATGTTCTGCTCCTGTCAGACCCGCACGTCTGTGATTGAGACGACTGGTAATAGCCCACCTTGCGCAGTCGACCAGCCTGTCGCATGAAGTGATAGCAGATTGAAAGTCAAGGATGCTCCACTCCTGCCAACCGGTGATGTCCTCTACGCCTATCCTTCCCTCTCCCTAACGCGTACCACTGCCTGAGCTTCATGGTGGCCGTGCCAATGTTCGTGAGATTCTGTTGGTGCCCCTTCCAACTAGCATCCCTCGCTCAAGTGGGACGCCTTTACAAAACCTCAGCTATTCTTTGGGTGGTCAGAAGGAACAGTTATTCCCGTCCAGGGGCACGAATCCGTACGTTTCGCCCCGTACTCGATCCGATCCCATAGTGCTCCACCGCGAACTTCCCATCCAGATTGCTTACGCTGGAGACGATGGTCTTCTTCAAATGCATAGGGATACCATATCCAAGCTGGGTCCTGTGGTCATTTTTGGATGTTTAATTATTCTTCGAGGACGCCCACTTACGATCTGAAAAAGGCCATCGGACGATCACACCATATGCTGCCTTAGCTTCATATTTGAAAATGTAACTATGATCGATGCAGAATCTAGTTTCTTCCAGAAGCCGAATATTCTCCTCACGCAGCACCCTTTCCGAAATTGAGGTGCCTTTCTTTTCCACGGTCGACTCCATCACAACAACGTGCCCCCCGCAAGACACGAATTGCCCTGGTACAGTGGTGACGGACGTCCACGAACATTGTCATGCCTGTGGCACACACAGACAATTATGCCGAGGAACTTGTTCCTGGTGTTATCGCTATTAAGTGTGACGTTCGATCGAAGCTTGGCTTCCTATTTAGTAGAGTGATTGTGAGTAGTCGACTATGAGCGACTACGAAGCATGGCACATGCTCCTGCTGTTAGGTGGAAAAGTGAAGTGCACGTGAGAGGCGCATGCGGTCGCATGTCAAATCGGAACACTGCGCTTCAAGACGCTCCGCCATGTGAGCCAACCTAAATATGTGCCTCGTTCAGCTGATTGCTTCAAGCCAAAGCGTTGGGCCTTTCAAACCTCCAAGGTCCGGTAGGAACCCCGTCATCCATAGAGACAAACTCTCGCACAGCTGGACAGCCCGGTCGCTGAAACCTATGATAACGCATTCGGCCCGCTTTCCCGTACAGCAGAA